GTCGTTACCTGACTCATTGTGCTAGTTGATGTTGTGCGCTTCACTGACTTGGTCGGTAGCGCACACCAGTCAGACGAGCGACGTGGTTAGTGCTGCGTTGGTCACTTTGGGGTTCTACTTTCACACTTGTCCTCAGCTCGCAACCGATTGGTTGAACGTTTGTCGATTGATCACTACTACGCTCACCCCTGTAAAAAGCCGAGTCATTTGTTAGAATACACGGTTCCAATTGCGTCGTGGTTTTGTTCTGATTACCGTTATTGCATGTCCGGGGTACTGCTGCAGCGGTCGGGTTGCGGATGGACCTACTGCGCTTACTGGGATAAAACATTGACGTCGCGGCCGCGAACCGCTGAAATGGCATTGCTTCTTCCACCTCCGGAATCTTTCTCGTGCGATTCCAGTGCAAAACCTACTGAAAACGATTGGGCTCAATGGGAAACCTTTTTTACGAATTAAGATTTACTGCCGTCAAATACTTCTTACTGCGGAATTAAAAGGTGAAACTTCTTTATCATCTTTTAGGCAATGGAGGCCAAAGTTGCTTTGAGGCATTTGAAGTAGAAAAGAGGACAAGCTTAGTAAAGCATGGGATACATAAGATTGACCTTGGGGTGCCCGACATAAGATTTCGCAGAAAGTTACAAATTATGTCGGTGTTGGCAAGTGGACTCAGACACACTGGAGCACTTCACTTCCCGTTTGATCTTTGTCGTAAATATCTGTGATCACCCCAGCATCCCGAAGTCCAGATTTGAGGAATTATGCTGACCCAACAATTAATGGTCAACATCACTGATAATCGCATACGAGAAGCCCTACTGTCCGTAGATGTTTTGAAGTTTTCATGGGACAGAGCCATTGAGGTCACCAGGTTCAAAACATCTACGCTCGAATAGTCCCACCTGTTCAAACCATGTGAAACACTTGAAGTCAATAAACTTCAGAACAAAGCTTCCGCCTCATCTCAAAAAGTAAATGTTTTGTGTTATCGGTGTGAGTTCTCTCCACAAAGCGAAATGTCAAACATGTTCGTCAAGCATAGCTGCTAGTAAAAGGGTGACAAACGGAGCAATGTCCCCTTTGATCTCGATGTCGCCGAATTGCCCTAGTTGACCAACAACGGAATAATGCTCCTACTACATCGACTGCTGAATTAGCTTTTAGGTCAGGGAATTACTTCATCCAGAAATCCGACAAACTTTGCTGATGGAGTTCTAGCACCCTTCTCCGTACAGTTACGCTCCATGGGCAAGACACCACTTTGCTAGTTAGTATGGAACTAGATTTGCATCGCCCAGAACAAATATTTCTTTCTGCCTTTACGACAGTTATTTGCATGGCATTCCATTGCATCGAACACCGTAGCGATTTGACTCACACAAACGGTCGCGTACACGTTCGCGGATATAATGACGAAACTAAACGGGGCTTCATTTGACGGTGCTGTATGGGGGGATTGTAAAGTCCAAAAGGAACTTTGATGTATCCCCAAACTGGATTGCTTACCTGAGGACACGGTATCTCTTTTCCCTGATTATCTTGCACATTTGCACGGCTTTTCTGTGTTTTACAAGCGTTTAACATATCGCCCTCATCTGGAATACTGCGTCCAAGCTTGTCCGCCCTGCCTCGTCCGGGACAAAATGGAGCTGGAGAGGGTTTTACGAGTGGGTACTAGGTTAGTCGAGGGATTACGGGGACGGACGTACCCCGAGCGTCTACTTAGTTTGGGAATGCATTCTATGCACTACCGAAGGCTTAGAGGAGACCTAATCCTAACCTACCGTATCTTGACTGGGAAGGTTGGTCCAGATTTATCTTGGCTATTCAGTCCCGCTAGATTGTCTGTTCTACGCGGTCATTCGTTGAAGCTGGACAAACCGCGGTCCGATCGGATTAGGGCGGAAATCCGGCTGTCACGCCGAGTTATCGACCGCTGGAACATGCTTCCGGAAAGTGTTATCAGGGAATCTACGGTTAAGGGGTTTGAGCGGCAACTTGACGCTCTTGGGTGGCAACACGAAACCTTTCCATTTTCCTGAGTAACGCATCTTCGTACTTCGATTTTCTTTTCTCTACTTTTCTTCACGTATTGGTATTATTTTCTTATTTAAGTGCACTTCCCTATTCTGTACCTTCGATTTCTCTTCCTATCCTTTGCTTATTTCACGTGAGTGCCAAAGCAGGGACTGCTAGGGCAGGAAACGTGGGCATTAACTGGTTGGCCAGGGTGCGATACGGGTGTTTCCGTTTTAGATCCATCAATAACTGAGCACTTCATCAATTCCTGGCTCAACGATCCACTCAAGACGGAACACTCACGGGATTCTCCTATCGTTCCAGTCCCCATCTGAACTGAACTGAACTGAACTGAAATCGCATATTTATTTCTTACACTCCATCACCGACACATCCTTGAAGTTTCAAGGTCATTATTATTATTGTGTTACTGTGACACTGCCCGAATACTCGATCCGCCCCACGCTGGACAGTTTCTGCCCACTTGCATTACGATTGCGAAACCTATTCGTAAGTCATGTACTGTATTTATTATGACTTATAGAACCACGGTTACAGGATAATTCGTTTTCTTCTTCTGCCCAGACCGTGCGTTAAGTCTAGGTTTATCTGTTCGTAGTTTTTAGTTTAGTTTTCGTACGACGTACTTAGTTTAGGCTTAGTGACGTTGGTACAGGGATTCTGTACAAACTCCAGCACTGCTGGGTCGAAGTCCCATGATTGCCCTTAACGTAACGCCGTCCATCGATCGAATGCAGTTTACGTCGCTCAATGTTTCGACACTCAAAGGTCCACAACTGAAGCTGTTCACTGAAACAATCGGACGCACTTCGGTGTCAACAGACAGGCCTTCGTTTGTGTCTGGGCCTGTGAAAAATGGCACCGATTTCAGTTTGGTGGGTTTGCACTGCGTACAAACCACATTGCCAGACAAGCGAACGCGTACAGGCGTCGAGAAAAGTGATTGCAAACGACGTGATCCGCCAATGGACTAGAAATTCAGATGAAACTAGTCATTTAAAGGAGTGCTTACGTGTGCGCTAATTTAGGTTGCTATTTTCACACGTGCGCCCAGCTCGCCACTGACTGGCTAAATGTTCGTCGATTGATCGCCGATACTCTCACGCCTGTAAAGGGACGAATCATTGGCTAGAGTACACGGCTCCAATTGCGTCGTGGTTTTGTCCGGAGTACTGCTGCTGAGGTCAGTTTGCGGATAGACCTATCACACTTACTGGGATACAACAGTTAGAGGGGTCACGTGAGGGCAGAGTTGCGGGCGACGTGGCTGCGCTGGTCGGTGTGATGGGTCAGGCGCACTGCTGGAGACCACAAAGAGTGGCAATTGTCTTCGGGTTATCGATTAATCCTAATTGAATACTAGGCAAGCAGTGACGTGTTAGAAAATGCGAGGTAGTTAGCGAAAAGTCTATTTGGGAAAACTGTTTCTGGTTTACTTGATCGCCTCAAGAAAGATCTTACTAACGAGTGTAAAAAAAAATCCACAAAGTAATTGAAACGGGATTATTGTACTATTGTGTAACAGCAACCAAATTCACCATAAACGCAGACGTGAATCAGAGGTTGAAACGATAAAAATAATCCGGAAGTTAAGCAGGCATCATGTAGAGCCCATAAGTTCGAGTCCAATGTATGTAAGCCTAATGATGCGCAGACAATTGGTGATGGGAAGTGCAAGAAACGTCAGAGCGTCGATTCGAATGGACCGCGTTGCCGTGTCTCACATGTGGTGATTCCACAATAGAGAACGTCGGGATCCTAGCTACTTCGTAAGATCCGCACTTGTTAGAATACATCCAGCAACAATACCTACAAGGGATACGATAAGACTGCGGACCTGCAAAAACAAAAGCAGGAATTTAGACACTGATGATAGATATCCCGATAGTGAAGTTAGTTGTGCAAGCTAGACTGGAGTGACTCTTCTTACTGCTGTCGTTTTCGCTTTTATTTAGTACACCAACAAACACCATTCATGGGAAATGTAAAATGCCACATTATTGCAGTGTAAAGTGCGACAAATCCAAGCATGTACAAGTTGAATTTGAGCTTGATGAAATCTCATGTTGGTGTACCAAATACTGAGTGACTCCATTGAGGTATGTCGCCATTTGCTACAGCTCAACCACAGTGCCAAGCTCAGAGAAAATTACTTAAAGCAACCACCTAGAATGTCAACGGAATTATTTTTCTTGCTGGTTTGCCAGCCCTGGAACTCTCTCCCAAACTTGGTTGTCTCTGCGTCTACTTTGGACATCTTTGAAAAAGACTACGGTTGCTCATGGATCTTGGTGGCACAGTGAACAAGGCTTCGGTCGTCCAGCACTGCGCCCCAGTTTTACTCTAACTTGGCCATTTCTACCTGATGAGTTCAAACGGGTACGAAACCGATCATGGCGCGTCATTGTTGAGATCGGTAACACCGAAACATCTCCAAGTGTATGTTTCTTTTAACTCCCACCACTTCGTTGCATAAATTGGCTTAGAGTGGAATCGTGTTACCTTGTGTTCGAATCTGATTTATATATTATACGGTTACTGAAATGTGTTACTTGAGTACGTGTTTTATTTTAATTGTCTCATAAAAACGTTAATTATAAATAACCTGTACATTACTTTAGATGGCAACTTCCGAGTTCACTTTAACACTATCGTCTCGCAACAGCACGTTTAAAACGGTGGGGTTCTAAACGAATGAAAAACATACATATATTTTTCCATTACTTTCACCCTTAAAATCCTACAGGACTTCCAATTCGCCTGCGTTTTACCAGTGTTAAATCATTGTCCACCATTCACTGAACTCATGCTTCAATCAGTCCCTCGAATTCCATCTCCCACGCTATTTTTGTGTAGTCTAGTGTCATACAGCTTAAAGCGTTGGTCGATCTTCTGCAAACTCATATTTTTTACGGATTATGTCACAATTGCATTCTCAATTTGTTCTGTACTTTCAGCTTTCCCAAAACGCGATAATGTCCGACGAGTTGTGCACACGGAGGACCACGGGGCTGTCGAATTTCCGTCAGTTGGTTGGATGGCCTATCTACGGTGCTTCGCAGCCAGACATCGCTACCGTGAAACGCATACACCGAATGGTCGCTGCCGCATATTGGGATGTGGCACTTAAGGGGATGCGCGTAGACGACAGTATACCTAGACCGGACGTGACTGACTCAAAGCGTGTTCCCATCTCAATGCCATGTATGATTTGGGTTTGTCTGCGAAACGAGTACGTGATCGGATGCGGGGACAACATGTATGCTTGGCGCGTTAAAGAGGCACCCATGGAACCGGTGGTACTGAAAGGAATCAGTGGACCCGAACTGGAGGTAAGTCCTCGCAGTTGAGTGGCGCTATTTTTACCTTCATAGCAATACACATCATTAACTTGACCCAATTTATACAGCAAATTCTGTAGTTCTTCGCAAATAGAATACAAGCCAGAAACGTCAATTACCTACCGGAAAAGCTCCAGATGATAGTTTCGCCTTATTTGGACCCGGTCCTCTTCGGGGGATCCAACCCATGGCCGATAGTAGCTAGCCGGCAGTTTATACCACTGAGCCAAGGGTGAAGACACTCGGGCTTCATGGGTTGAAATCTAACTGCGGTATAGCCCCATCCATCCTTCACTTCCATGCACGTTTCTGCCCTTGCAGAGGACAGTGGTCGGCCTTCAGGAATTCCCTTGCCAGTAGTCATGAATCCACACAGCATTTTGAATCCTTTTACGGTTAGTTTGGACTACTCATGAGTAAGGAGATTTGTTGCAACCTATGTAGTTTGTTACAATTGAATTACAAACCAAGTAAACAGACTACCAATAAGTGGACGCAATTCCTCAGCAGTTTTAGTACAACGTATGTACTGCACGATACGAACGGAATCTTGTTAGGACAACACATGCCCGATGGAGGACAAAGCCGGTCAATTCCTAACGGTTGGGTCATCCTGGTTGCAATGGTCGAGATATTCGTGGGGAGATTTGGACAACAATCACCGTTTGATGGCACGTTTGATATACCCAGGACAAAAGCAAGCGCCGGATGCTAATGTGGGTTGGTAGCGTCTGCACCTATTCACCGCACTGTCATCGAAATCATGGAAATTGTTTGCCACTATAGTCGGGCTTCGACTGAAACAAATTAAACACTGAATGAGGTATGCGACACATACAATCAAATGTAAATGTCAGCATAAGCGAAAATTTGTTTGTGATAATTCCTCTTCAGACTTATGCAGCTACATACAAACCAAAATGTTGACAGAGATTACAAGTGCTTACTAATCGGAAGACTTAACTGGATGCTGGCTGTCGCTGTTACTCGGGAGTTACAAAACTGCTGACAGGTAACCTCGATGGTCAGCTTTCACCAGCTGTCTAGGGCAAGCTAACCCCAGCCCTCGCGTGTGCCTCTCCCGAACAGAAATTCAAGTAATATAGCCCAACCGTAGTCGCTTCAGCGGCTTCTAATATCCGTCTGTGGACGTAATTTCATCGGCTGTTGGGAAGTTGCTGGGTAATTTCGAACCACTCAGAAGATTTGGTATCAGCTCCACAATCGGTGAGATGTGCCGTTATTGGAGTGCCTTGAAACAGTGTGTGTATGTGTGTGTGATTCATAGCCCACAGTCCAAAGAGAAACCAGCGGTTCAGACGACGGATAAAAAGGATGTTTATTTGGTTCTACCATTTAAAGGCGACCATTTAGCTAATGACATCAGACATAAGATAAGATTTGCGCTTGCGCGTACTTACACCACCACCAATTTGTGGATGGCTCACTGGACACGAAGAATAGATCTCAACGACCATCCGAAAGTCTTGTCTGGAAATGCGGCCTCATTTGTAGTCTACCAGTTCGTCTGCAGTTGTGGTGAGGTTATATAGGCAGGATTAACCGTAGACTGTCCCTGAGGATGGCGGAACACCTCCCAAATTTGTTTCGGCAAGAGTTGGCGCAACAAAACTGGTGCGGATCAGCTGAAGAGTCACAGTCTTGCCTCGTCCATTGCGTGACATCTCATATTGACTCGTCATCACGTGGATCAATTGACCGCGTTCAGAGTAAGGTTGCGCGATCGGAACCCAAAAAGATTAGCTATCACAGAGGTCTTACTTATCTCGAAGTATCGCCTGGTGTTATGTGCACAGAAGCCGTGGTTTTGGTGGATCAGTTTGTTCCACTTTCAATTCCAGTTGTTCACTTCTGTTTGATTCCTATTTGTAAGGCCTTCGCGAATGAGGAGAGCAATTGAAATGTTAACCTTTCGTGTGTTATGTCTTCTTTCTGTGATTAGTTATTGAAGAATCGGTTGCTTTTCTGATTTAGTTCCAAACCAGACTCCTTAACTCTCTCGCCTATATGCAAATGTATTCTGCTCCACAGAAGAAGGGGAATGCCTAAAGGTCCATCGACTCTGTGTGGACAAATCTCTCATCATCTGAGTTCAGTGCTTTTGAACTGAATTTCCATTTGTGCTGTTGGAAACTGTATCTGAATGCATACGAAAGACGGCAAGTTAGAAGTTTCACCTAAACCTCACTCTTGTACAGCAGCTATAGAAATATTGGCCTCCGTTCTATCGTTATAACTACGTGCTCCCTACTCTTCTGCTCCAAGTTGGTCATAATGATATTATTCAGGTAACCATCTCCCCCAGCACCAAGCAAATGGATTCTAATTCCTCCGAAATTATGACTTCGGACAGTTTCTTCCAGCTCCGTCTGAAATGGCAAGTTAAGAGCTAAAGGGTTTGCTGTAAGGGTTCGAAATTGTCCACCCATTAACACAAGGTCAAGTTTAAGGAGAACATCTTAACAATTAACTACTTCATTGCTTCCCATACAAAATGGACCATGCACTCTATGCTGTTACATGACACTGAAGGCAATATCCGATTACCGCAGGGAATCTAAAAACCTAATTAACTGCAATCAAGCAGCATGTTTGTGTCATGACTAAGATACGTCATGAAATGAATTCCAAATAGTTACTCATTCAAAAAAATAAAATCAATTACAAATTACAACGGGAGAACAACCCCAGAAAGGAAAAGTTCGAATTCAAGCTGTTCACTTGGACTATTCAGTCTCACCCAGAGAACTTGCGTATTGACTTGTTTTTAAACAATGTTGGGAAAAGTATATCATCGATGAACTTCTAATACCCAGTAGTGAGCTAAAGATTCATCAGGGTTCCATTTAGAGAGGCTAGATTTACATCTTCATCTAGACAAAAACATGGACGAGCCTACCATGCAATGATGAGTCGGTTGCAGCTTCCATATGTGACAACGCCCAAACGTGCCAGGCTACAATGGAACTGTTAGCATTGGCTGTCAATGGTTTTGAGCTATGCTTTGCTCTATCGAAATGCAAAATTCTTCCCCAAGATTGGCAGGGACCCACCCCTGCGCTGACCCTTGGTGGTGATCAGCTAGAAGTCGTTCAGGGGTTCAAGTACCTGGACAGCTGTATTAGCGCCCATGGGATCGAAGATGAGATTACGAACCGTATGGCAAAAGCTCGAGGTGTTTTTGCCAATCTGCGCCACCTGTGGCACAGACGCGACCTCACTATATCCTTGAAGGGTAGAGTGTACAATACAGCCGTCCGTTCAACCTTCTTATACGCTTGTGAAACCTGGCTCCTCAGCTCGACAGACATAGAGGCTATCCACGTTCGATCATCTCCGCCTTCCCAGCATAGCTCATGTCTGGTGGGAGCACCGTGTGAGCAATGAGCGTGTTTGGTGCAGGAAGAGTGGGTGAACCGCTCAGCACCATAATATCACGCACCAGGCTCCGATGGCTCGGCGATGTGTTGCGCATGCCAGAACACCGACTCCCCCGACATGCATCGTTTGCGCGCCGGGGGTGAGGTTGGAAGAGGAAGAGGAAGGGCCAAACGATGACTTGGTCGAGAGCAATGAGAACCCTCATTTCGAAGTTGTCGTCGGTTACTGCATCCCGATTGCCTGGCAGCGCTCGTTAGCAAGTTGAAGAAAGATCCTCCGGTGTGGCACAACGAAGCTTAGGTGTCGATCGATCACCTCATGCTGCACAAAAGCCAATCAAACTGTGAGGTCGCTTTTGTTGCAAAAACTCGCTCCGTCAGGGACAAACGGTTTATTCAACAAAGCAAGCGCAGCGAACATGACAGAATGATTAGGTTGTAGAAGCCTCGATGTAAATAGCTAACTCGGTTCCATAACTAACGATGTTGCCGCACGCAGGAGCTTCTTCCTTTGAATTAGTCAAACAAACTCACTCCAGCGTATAGGCGAAGATGCGTAGGCTTCCAATCATCTGCTTCGTTCGCTTGCGGTAAGCTAGCCGCTTGCTTCGTCATGCAAGTCCGTGGTGTTCTGCTGCTTTCATAATCACATCACACGTTTCCTGTACGCTGATCTGAACCAGTGATCCTTGGATGGCAACGAAGACACTGTACTTTCGGACAACTGGCGCTAGGGCTAGGAGATTGAAAACCTTCAGAGATGTCATTCTGGAGCATTCGTTGTGTGCATGGATTAAGGTGCATGTTTTTACTGACAGAAAATACCGCTCAGCTACAGCTGGATTAGACGATAACTTTTACGCTTGATTAAATGACACTAATGGCTCAAACACACATTTGGGAAATTAAACCACCTTAATACACATGCCGTTTTGCTAAGAAAACTAAAACCGTTAGCATTGAAGCTCGCATATAACCATCTACGAAGGATACGGCTGGGCCATTTTTTGAGATCCAAGTTCAAGTTTAATGGCTGATTATTGTTTATTGCTGTTTTCACCTTTTTTTGGAACCCCTAACCTACTGTCCGGCAGGACAAGTTAAATTTCTGCTTTTATCTGTAATTTCTCATTGAGCATTGACCAAAGGCTGTCTGGACTAACACACCTTTACAGTAAATAGCAGAGATAGTTCAGCACGGTCCACGCTCAGTCAGCAGGCTTTGGCTAGTCTGCAAAACCAACAGACACCGATGTTTCGTCCTTCTGGGTCTCCTCAGTGGTGCGACTTCCAGCGGAAACCTGCCGGGATTCGGCTCCATGACTTCCGGATGCCGGCAGATGGTGGCACCTAACTATAAGTGACAGCCGAAGACCTGCATGATTGGCAGTTGACTAGACCTTATTAATATAAAACCTGTCCATATAGCTTCCAATTGCTGGCGTCGTACCAAGGCGTCATGCGGAAAGTCCTACCTTGTGGGGGGCTAACTGCTGGTCTCTGCACAGTTCATAACTGGCATGACAGTGGAAGAGGAGTCGGGCTATATCACGATCAAGTGTCACTCATGCAGGTCCGCGGCTGTCACGC